TTTTCCAAAATATTTTTCATCGTTGGTCTCGTTGAAATGACAATGGGAACTTGTAATAAGTTAGAAATTTGATTTACAACATAAGTTCTTTGATTCGTTTCATCGAAAGCATCCTTAATTATATACAATTTTTTATGTATTATTCTGTTTTCGAATAGTTCAGTAAAAAATTGTTTAAAACGATTAAACATTTTCTTTCCAACTTGGTGTATTAATAAATCTTCTATTAACATTTTCTTATCGTTTAAAATTTTATCATCCCAAATGTTGGTCAAATTAACCACGCAATACTCTTTTGGAAGGATATATTCCATGTTATGGAGCATGGAAGATTTGCCCATACCAGCATTCCCATGAATTATACTTATAGGGAGATTTAACTCTAATAATTCATTTTCATTGATACTTTCATTTACCTTGAATTGGCTTAAAGTTTCAATATCTCCATTATAAGCATGACATAAGAAATTTCCATGAAATTCAAGCAGGCAACAATATGATCCTCTAAATTTGTCCTTTAAATCAGTTCTTGTTTTCCATATTGACTCTTTGGAATACACTGTCGTATACTTAAACTCGATGTCTGTAAAACATATTTCCAAAAAATCTGAAAGTTCTAATAAGTTATCCTGGTGTTCATGTCGATCCGTAGATAATTGAAATGTTGATTCCATTGACCCTAGTTTGCTTCGAATTTTTTTAAATAAACTATTCAAATATTCTTCATTGTATGGAGAAGAACTGCTTGGATGGACCACAAATAGAAAATTTGTGTTTTTAAATACGTTTTCATTAAATATTAGAGGTTCCAATTTTCTCGGAATATAAAACGGTTTGGTGTCGCTGGCATTGAAACTAATTTCTTTTGCTGAACAAAGCTTTACGTATTCGTCAGGAGTAATGCCATCCGTAAAGTTTAACTCTTTCAATGAAATTGACTCTTCGGGATGAAGTTTAATTTTTATTAGATCCAAATTTTGTTTTTTGAGGTCCATTCTTATGTTGTTGAAGTTGAAGATATTTAAATTTTCCATGGAAATGTTAAATTCTGTTTTATTTAGTAATACCACAGAAGAGTTGGGCGAAAAATGTTCTAATACAAAATTTATTTGTTGTTTATTTTCGCGGGTGTAGATTAATGGAAGAGGCGCTTCTTCTTTCAGCCATAAAAGAAAAATTAAGTCCTTGTATAATAATTCATTATTCTTAATATATTTCAAAGCTTGATAATATGGTTCTTCGAATGTTATATTTTTTGGTAATTTTTTATGCCAAAGTTCTTTACTGAAGTTCTTGATGTCGAAACGAGTTTCGATAATTTTAGTTATAATTCTTAAAATTATAGTAATCGATTCATCGGACAATGTGGAAAGATGAAATAAATTTAACGTTTCTATTATTAAATTGCCGTTTTCAATACAATTGTTATCATTAACATTTTCAAGAAGCTGGTCTACGAAGGGGTACAAAGTTTTAACCTTCAACATCCACACAATTTCTTCTTTTGAAATAAATTTTTTACCTTTAATATATGTATAAAAGCTATCGAAATAAGTTAATATTAGCTGAAACTGCTCGTCTTTCACGCTTTCTTTGAACTCTTTTCTTATTATGTCTATAAGTTCGTCCTTGTTGCTTTGCTTTGAAAAAACGAAGCAGTTGGTTAAAAAATCGTGTATCATATCTTCAGTAATACTTTTATCACTGATATTTAAACCTTTTCTAGTGTATTTATGCAGTAATCCTTCTTCATTTGTATTAAACATTTTTAATTTTGAATTGGACAAACTAACATCTTCCAATGCTTTATGCTGTGTTATAAGATTCTTTTGGACGATTGTATGTATGATTATATTTATTTTGACATTTTCGTGTTGTCTTTTTATCAAACGATAATCCGTGATAAATTTGTTTAAATTCAAGTTAGGGTCATTCTTGTGTTTAAGCTGACAAACAAACATTTCCTTTTCTCCATCGTTATGTTCTACGTCGATTATAATGTCGTCCAATGATCCAAAATCTTTGAGGTTTGTTCCAATTTTGAAATCCTTAATGGTCTTGTCCAATGCGCAGCGAATTGCGAATAGGGACAAAATATTCTTTTCATAGATGAATCCAGATAATGGGGCCTGTAATTTAGAATCAAAATGAAAGGTGGGTATTCCCTGATAGCAAAATTTGATTTAAAGAATCTTCTAAGAAGATATGACCCGGAATGATGGAATATTTTTAGAACATTCCCTTATTGCTAAGAATGTTCTTAGGGACTTTTAAAACATTCAATAGATACCCTTTTAATGATGCAATTAGATTCTTAAATGCTTCTTAAAACCTTCCTAAAAAGCATCCTAAGAACATTTTAAGAATACGTATTTGTCGTCCCCTTAAATTTTGCGACATAATAATATATATTTATTTAAAAATATTAAATAAACAATTTGACCTCTAAACCATAAGTTTTATGACGTTATTTCATAAAAGGTAAAATTGGAAAATTGTGGAATAAGTCAGATTAGATTGAAGTTGAAGATAGTTAGATTATAATCTTTATAATAATAATCTTTATAATAATTATTATACATAAAAATGTTAATTTAGAAATAAAAAATTGGTATACAAATTAATAAATATTTATTTTTAACATAAAATAAAATACCTATAGTAAAAGCATTTTTGTTATCGAATATTGTTTTAATTTGACAAATAACTATAAAGAAATATTTTGTATTGTGTTTTTTACTTAGTATTTAATACTAATTACTAATTAGGTACTTAAGTATAGGTATATACCTTTATACGTAGTTTATGGTATATTTTACTATTATATAGGTAACTGAACTAAATATGCTTATCAGGAATATTCCTAAATAAACTTTCTATAGCAATTACTTTCTTAACATTCTAAGCATATGTTTAGAGTAGACTAATTTTACCACTAAAACTTTGCACCTTCTAAGAACCTGCCTATAGGCCAGTAAGAATATTCTTAGGATCATGCTATATGTCTTTTAAGCATGTTCTTTAGAAGAAATAAAGCATGATCCTAAGAATATTCTCACTGGAAGGTTTAAAAAACATTCTTAGAATAAAGTGTGCTATCAGGGTAGTTGAAGGTTACTACTAAAACCTGAAACACCCTGTTTGACGAGTAATAAGTGTTTATCAAATTAATTTATTTAGCTGAATGATTAAATTTATCGCATCAATTTTATCAATCTATTAATAAGTTTTTTATAATAAATTTATTCCTATAATATTTATTATTTCGATATTTTATGTACACCAAATTTACCCTGTATATATAGACAGCAATAAAACCAATATGTAAGATTTAAAAGTACGAACATATGGAATAGAGTGACATAGAATTGAACAATTCGACTTTGTTTGAATAAAAATTATTTCAAATACTGAGTGAGCAAAATAGTTACAGGATTTAATAAATAGAAAATAGTTTTTTAATTTACTTACCCTGTGTGGTGGTGGATTTTCATTCGCACTTGCATGTTGCTGCAACAATTATAAAAATAATTGTTATTATTACTTTTACAAGGGCAACACAATAATTTTAGAAAATTATAACGCTATTTTTTATTTTTATAATTATTATAAAAAATATTATTTTTTATTAAACCTAAAAATATATGAGTGTTATTGCCCATATTATATATTAACTAAAATATTTCCTTTATCAAAATTACAAATTATTGGAGGTATTATTAAAAAAAACTAAATATGTAGCTTTACTTTATCTTACGAAAAATTACCATAAGTAAGAACAGAATGTTAAGGCACAATTCAAAATACAAATAGAGGAAGTGAGGGTATTTTGGAATTGTAGTTTAAAAAAAAATAGCAAAAAATTTAAATTTAAATTATTTCGATTAAAATAAATAACATGTCCAAGATCTACATTTGTACTATGCCAGACGAAAATTTTAAACTATTTAAAATACTTTAAAAGGATTTTTTCACTAATGAAAAAAAAAGTGTAAAAAATCTCTGTTTACGTAACATGAAGTTAATTTGGAATACCACCAATTTGGAATATTTCAAAGTAGCAGCAAATGTTTTATATTAAAAAGGTTAATAAAACATTTTAAAAAGGTAACCAAATATTAATTAAAAGAGAAAATTGGATTGATTATCAAATATTACAAAAAATGAATATAATTTGGAATATTTCAAATTTTCATTATTTATAGTATTCCAAATTAGCAATATAAAGACCTACGCCATAATATGTAAAAAAAAGTAAATGCTTTAACATATCGAAAAAGTACAATTAACAACTAAAAATATAACCCTTTACTTACCTGAGGACACAATTTAAGTTAATTTAAAGATAAAAATCGAAGCTATGATTGCCGATTTAATTACCACTAAAAAAGTTTTAGTTACCCCACAATTAATTTTTCACATGTGTTGGCCTTCTACCATAAATTAAAATATCTACAAAATCACATGTCCACAAAATACAGGCTATTCTAGTAGTTTATTTCATATTTAACGAGATGGCGCTAAGCATAGCCTCAATATTTAAGTATTCCAAATTACCAACAGTATTCCGAATTACCCCCACTTCCTCTACCCATACTAATATACATACAATATGGTACGAATTAGATTTTTGATTTTGAATTATATAAAAAATAAACTTACCATTGTATTTTGTTTAGCAAAAAAATCACAACGTCAAAAATAATAATTTATGTAAGTATGCATGGTAATTTTTGCAACGTCTTTAACTAATAGTAATTTATAAGTATAATATTTATTTCATGATATCATCAACTTGATAATCAAATGAGTGATAAAAGTTATCTTATCAATCTATTTACTTAATTTCTCCCATATTTACTTCTACAAGGAAGTTTCTAAACCCAGTATCGCTTTTTGTAGGGTTCAACCCCATATTTTAAGGAACTTGAACCATAGGTAAAAAGGAATGCAAAACATAACACAATATATTAATTAATATTTATTGTTTTCCATACGTTTTATCTTGAAATAAATTTGAATTTAAATGTGTTTTTCGGTAACGCCAGGGACCCAACTGGAACTTCATAGGAAGTACCGTCATCAGGTAACACGGTGTAGTTCTGTAAAATATCACTTAGAATGCCAAAAGAGACCAATTGTACTATTTTGTAGCCCATGCAACTTCTTCTTCCACCTCCAAATGGTAGAAAATAATCGGGTTTCACAATTTTTCCATTCTTCAGAAACCTTTCAGGTTTAAATTTGGCTGGGTCGTTCCATAACGCTTTGGACATGCTCAAGTCGTAGTTGTTCAGGAAGAGAACCGTGTCTTTTTCGATTTCATAACCTACAATATGTTTAACAATATAATAGTGAGTCAAAACCATTGGTATAGTACTCACCATTTATCGAGCTGTTCTGATTGGCTACTCTGGGCACTATGGGTGAAGCTATGAGGCGTACAGCTTCGAAAATAGTTGCTTCAGTGTAGGGCATGGAGCTTCTATCGCAAATGGTGACGGGTTTTTCCTTCGCATCAATTTCCGCCTGTATTTTGGCTTGGACTTCACTTTCTTTAGCTAGATACGCCAGTAGCTTGATCAAAAAGTTACCAACTGCGCTGTGGCCTCCTATGATGTCCTCCAAAGCGAACAAAGCAGTCTCCCACGTTAGATCCGAGTTGGTCTTGACGCGTTTGATCAAGCTGTCCAGATAATCACCTTCCACATCAGTATCAACATTGAATTTGCTTCCAACGACTTCGTCCAGAATGAACTCCCTGATTTCGTGGGTTAAACTGTTTATTCTCTCGAGGTTTTTTTTGTGGAACGGCATCAGAAAAGGTAGAAAGTCAGCTGCGTAACCTTGATTCACTTCGTAGAAGATGTCGTCGAAGTTTTCCACCATTCTGATGAACTTTTCATCGCTAACGCTGAAGGTCTTGCTGCAGAAATGCGCCGTGAAAATATTTGCGCAGTTTTTTAGTATTATGGGTTTAATTTCCATTGATTTGTTCGGTGTTATTTCCGATTTAATAAGGGTGCTAGCTTGTTGTATCAAGTTATCCAATGAGTAATAGGTGTTGGTGAATGAACGTGGGAACGTGTGGACTTTCAACATGTCTCTTCTGAGTTTTTGCGTGTCGGACCAATCACAAAAAGCCAATGCTGAAATTTTTTGTTAATATAAAGGGTTTTCCGGTAGGATAAAATACTCACAGTTCTCTTTATTGCCACCAAATAGCATCTGGTATCTTTCAAAGTTGGGTCTTGAGTCAAAGTGATGACCCTTGGTGATAAGGGCTTCTCTGATGTTTTTTTGCCCGTTGACAACAACGCATTTGACGTTGCCAAGTTGCAATTTCACAACGTTTCCATATTTCCTGCCCAAATTCGAAAAAGCTTCGTATGGTACGGAATATCCCGCCAAGAGATGCATATGTCCAATAATTGGAAACTTAAAAGGTGTTGGTGGTTTTTGTAAACCATCCACCGGTAGTTTGTTGACGTTACGCAACTTCTTGCAGAATATAATCAAAACGGCCACAATAAACACCGATAAGAGCACTATTGACAGAGGCGAAACAAAAAAAATCATGTTTGGTGCTTTTAACACTCGAGACCAACGTATAATGCCGTCTAAAGTTTTCGAACCATTTCAAACCTTTTATACCGAATCTCGTCAAATGTATTCTAATAAAAATCACAACAATGAATAAAATTGAATCTATTTATTATATAATCCAGTCCAACACCATTAAAAAGTTTAACGTTTTTAAAAATAGTGGTACTACTAATTAACTAAGTCTACGCGCGCTGAATTGTGCTAATCAAAGTGGATGTAATTATGCATATAATTATATCAATTTTAGTTTGTAAAATTGACCCAAATTTATTTAAGTCTTGCAAGGAAACTAACTGTTTTTTAAATTTTCATCAATATTTATCACATTTCAAAATATACATAACTACATGACTGAATTTAAATTATGTTTTCCTGACTTTTTATTTGTCTTGTTTTGAAGAGTAAAATTTATAAAAAATAATTATTATTTTACCCCAAAATGTAAATTTTTTTAAATGCCAAATGAAAATTGCTATGTAACAGTACTAAAAAGTCTAATGGTTTCAGATCTGGTGATCTGGCAGGCCATGCTGTTGGTCCTCTTTTACTCTTTTACTCGCACATATATTTTTTTTAAATTTTTTTTGAGCTATTTCAAAACGTTTTATAATAGGGTATTTTTGGTTCACCCTGTATATTCTGATGCAGGACAAACAATTTAAATAAAAATGTGTTTCCAGATATCTCCTCTACGTAACCTTCACCTTGATAGAAAATTATATTTTTAAATTTTCAATAGGAACCAGACAAACTTTTTGAATTTATTAAATTTTAATTCGACCCAATATATGGTTTAAACAATATATATATATATACATATACAGGGTTGCTCAGGGTGGAATATTGAGTGTAACTTTTGAAATATCGAATATATTAAAAAATTATTTTAATAAAAGTTTTTTTTAAATGCAACCCCCTTTTTTATATCATTATATACACCCGGTATATATATATATGTGTGTATATAGCGCATGCTTAGGATTTTAAATCGATATTTTCATTCATATATCAAAAGTTTCCGTCCTTTCTATAGGCAAAATATATTTGTTAATGAAAAACCTATTCATTGATATATCCACTAAACTAAATTAAAAACTATTTCAACTGATTGAATATTATGTGTTATATTTTATAATTTTACTTAATCAAACGCATTATGATACCTCAAAACACGTTAAATATGAACGAAAGAAGTTATATTTTGGAAAATAGGTCAAATTTAGTAGAGGAAAGGGTGAGTCTGTTTTAAAAATTCTTTAAATTATATGGAGATATCGTTTTTTACTGTTTTACATAACATACTTTTGTTATGCCTGAATTTAAATAGCATTTTAATTTAACAGGCTAGACCATCTAGTTTGTGGAAAGAGTTAAGAATCAAATAAATTTTCATAAAGCAAAAAATAAATTTGAATATTTTTTTCAGGGTAGTAGTATTGATTCCAATGAAAATGCTTTTGATGATATGAAGCAGTTAATAAATGTATAAGTATTTCATAAAATTGGCGAAGCATAAACATTTATGTGCAATTATTTTTAGGAAAACGAAAATGAAAATAGATCAACCTTGCCGTGGGCTAGCTTTAATTTTATTAATTCAATCATAGGTAGCGGGGTTATAGGTATACCGTATGCTTTTCACGAGGCTGGATTTGGGTTTGGGTTATTTTTACTCATATTTGTTGCCTACGTAACGGATTATTCTTTAATTTTAATGGTCAGAAGTGGCCACATTTCCGGCAGATTTTCATACCAGGGAATCATGGAAGCTGCCTTTGGTAGACCTGGGTATATTCTATTGGGATGTCTGCAATTTTTTTACCCATTTATCGGTAACCAGACTAAATTTTTAGTAAATTTAGTACATTTGTCATTTCAGCAATGGTTTCTTACAATGTTGTGGTAGGAGATACAGTGACAAAAGTTATAGTACGATTGACGGGAATTGATGATACCAGCATTTTTTCCAAAAGAGAAGTTATAGTGTTAATCGCAACATTTCTGATAACCATACCGTTATGTTTATATAGAGACATTTCAAAATTGGCCAAAATATCTTTTATAAGTTTGGTGTGCATTGGTTTTATTTTACTATCCATATTCATGAGGATTGGCACCATGAGTGATTTGGTGTGAGTAAATATACAGGGTGTTATGTAATTAATGTTATTAAAATACTGAATACCTTTTGACATAAGGAATAAAGGAAAAATATTTAAAAAAACATTTTTCCAAAGATAAAGACAAAATATGCATTAGAAGTTTTTTATATTTTTTGTGATACGCCACTGGTTACACACTTGTTTATCTCTGCACACCTGTATTTTGTGAGTACATAGATACCAACCAACAAAGTAGCTATGCGTTGCCAGATGTAAAAAATTGTTACTAAAAATTTTTCTTGCAAAAAATAAATAAAAACTCAATAAATACAAAAGTTTTATGCCCTTAAAGCTCTAATACCCTTCTGTATTTATTTACTGATCCAGCTATTAGCTTAAGCAATGATTAGAAAATTTAGTACCTTTGAAATTTGAAATCCATAACCACAAAATTAATTTTTTCATCAGTTTTTTTCTCTGTTTACTCAGATGAAATTGGGACCAGTTCACAGGTTAAACGTTAAACATTTAATTTGTGTAAATAAATCCAAAAGCACTTCCCTTAGTTAAGATATTTACAATTTGAAAACATAACCTAAAATTTAAAAGAAATGCACTAGATTCTGTCATAAAAGTTGGCAGATTTTGTTTGAATTTACCTTCAGTACAAAAATAAAATAACCAACAATTAATAAAAACGCCAAATTGACAATTTGCATTGTTAATTTTGTCATTTTTGTAATTAAGCTAAATTTAAACAATGTTTGTCAACTTTTTTGAGAGATTTTGGAAACACTGTTGTTACCAACCATAACATAATAAATCCACCAGATTAACCTAAAGTTCCTAGTCGATCAGTGGCGTACTTTTTGGTAGGATAAAGGTTATTATAAATTATTTTTAGACTTTGAAATTTAGAAAAAAAAAGTTTCAGGTGCTTCTTTATGGACCCTAAGGAACAACCCATTTTAATATATAGCATTAATTACATAACAATCGCAATTTCATATGAATATAAATTATTATGATAATAATAATATATATGTTATAGACCCAAACACCCAGACTCTTGGAGATTTTTCAACACAGATATTATACCTGCGATTGGCATAATGGCCTTTGGTAACAAATTAAACCCATACATAAAAAATATATAATTTTTTGCTTTTAGCATTTATGTGTCACCACAATACGTTCTTAATTTACGGTTCTATGACAAATGCCACGGAAAAAAATTGGGAGGTGGTAACTCATGCATCAATATTTACTAGCCTCATTGTATCTTGTTTGTTCGGAATTGCTGGCTATTCCACTTTTAAAGCCTATTCCCAAGGTAAATAACAAAACATATAAAGCGCTCTGATTGGCTTAATTTATTTTAGGCGATCTTTTGGAGAATTACTGCTGGGATGATGACGTCATGAATGTCAGCAGAATTTTGTTCAGCGTGCAAATTTTGCTGACCTACCCCATCGAATGTTTTGTTACAAGAGAGGTCATTGAAAATTCCCTGATAAAAACCGAAGCCAACGTCCCTATTTCGGAAAAAACGCATTATTTAATCACGTTGGCCATAGTTGGAACAACCTACATCATTTCCATTGCCACCGATTGCTTGGGAATGGTACTGGAACTTAACGTAAGTCTTGAATACCCACTTCCGCATCACTTCCGCATCACTTCCGCATCACTTCCGCATCCTGAATTCGTTGTGAGACTTCGAAATTTTATGTATATTTTTTACAGGGCGTTTTAGCCGCAGTTCCGCTTGCTTACATCCTACCTGCTTTGAGTTACTTGCAACTCGAAGAAGGTTACATTTTGTCGAAAAGAAAAGTCCCGGCGCTTTGCGTCGTAATATTTGGCATGACCGTCGCCATTTTGGGCGTGCTGTTTTTAATTTGGGATTTCAACGAAATTGATACTTGCTCGCATGGTAAAGTTATGTCGTATTGCGTTAAATCATCCAATGTTACCGTAAACGGTACCGACTTAACAAAGCATTAAACGTGATAAAAATACAAATTGTTTTGCGTTATAATTTTAAGGCCTACTATAAGAATGATTATTTCCGAAAAATTATTGAGATGAATTTGACATAAGTATTACAAAAATATATTTAATGTTACAAGTATTATTATAATAGGAAAAAATCAATTTAAAAGTAGTTTAAATAGTATTAACTAAATAAATATAAAATATAAATTCACTATAAAAGTAATAAACAATCAAAAGCTGAAGCTTATAACTATATTAATAATAAAAAAATATACTAAAAAACATTATTTTGTATACTAAAATTAAATACTTAACTAAAGAACCAAACTGTTCAATTATTGCTAAATTCTAATAAATATTATGTTGCTATTGCATATCGTCGTTTATCTGACAAAGAGGCGTAACTCAAAAAAATTCGTTTTTGAGTTATACCAGAATGATCACCAAAATCGACTTTATAGTCTCACAAACTGGCGTAGCTCTATAATAAATAGGTACAAATAAAGTTTTAGCATAAAGCAGTTTCGGCGTAACTAATATTTTTGCATTTTATGTGCCGTACAAACTGGCGTAATTCAATTGACACCGTTTTGTTTAAAAATGAGATACGCCTCTTTGTCAGATAAACGACGATATGTATTATAATGTCATTCGTTTTGAATGAAAAATATTTTTACATAAAAAACAGATTTTTGCATTTTACAACAAACCCGTTAAAGTTACAAGTAAAAAGTTAAAATAACTTTTATACAAAATTAAATTTTCTACAAAAAAGATTTTATGCTATAATGCAATAAAATGCTTAGTTTCGAAGATATAGAGCATTTAATAAATTTTACTTTTAAATTCAAAACGAATTACTGTAATATGTTTATTTATTTAAAAAATATAAAATATTTTGTATCTATATTGTAAAATAGGAATTAAAAGAAATGTTTATATTTCATATTCTTGTTGCCAAATATTATACGGTGTGTACCAAAAATGACCGACTATACTTAAAAATATATAATATTTTGATTTGAAGTAATAAAAATTTCGCACATTGTTTTAGTGCGTCATTTTTGCGACACCCCGTAGAATCTTGTTTAGTAATTAATAAAATATAGTGTGCAAAAACAGCCATTTTTGTGCACCAATGTACTTACAGCAGTGGTTACTAATGTATGGCCCTGTATTTTCGAATTTCCTCTCAACTTTTTGACTGATATTTCTGCACCCTGTTGCCAAACTTCTAACGCACTTGTGATTTATGTGACTTTATATTGTATATAAGAAAATAAATGTATATATTTAAATTTAAAAAGCGTTTTATTTGGTTGTTTAAAAATCTCGGTGTACACCTTTCACTTTTCGCTGCTTCGCGAACAGTAGCGTGATAACCTCAAAAAACAACATAACCTCAAAAATTCAAATTTGTGTGTGTTTTGTTGTTTTTAAAGATTTTTAGGGTGTTTTTGATATAAAATGCGTTACGCGCAGTTAGTTATAGGCCCCGCCGGGTCAGGCAAGGTAAAAACAATTAAAATTAACCATTAAATATATTAAATAACAAACAAAGCATTATAATTTGTTTTATATGATTTTATAATGCTTTTTATAGTCTACATATTGTTCAGCGATGGTTCAACACGGGGTAGATTCTAAAAGAAACATAGAAGTAATAAATTTAGACCCTGCTGCTGAATATTTTGACTATCAGCCGTTAGTAGATATAAGAGAATTAATACACGTACAAGACACAATGGAGGATGAAGAGTTACATTTTGGCCCCAACGGGGGTTTAATATTCTGTATAGAATACCTACTGGGTAAAAAACAATAATTTTACCCTGAACGGTATTAATATAGTTTTTGTAGAAAATTCTGATTGGTTAAGGGATCGTATGGGCGAACACGAGGACGATTATATTTTATTCGATTGCCCAGGTCAAATTGAACTCTACACCCACCTAACAGCCATGAAAAAACTCGTAAAACAGTTACAAGACTGGAATTTCAGCATTTGCAGTGTTTTTCTTGTAGACGTTCAATTCATGACCGATGGGGCCAAATTTCTATCAGGTAAGTACAATATAAACCTAAACACTCTGTATGTTACTTGTTTTTGAAGGTACCATGGCTGCTCTTAGTGTTATGGTAAACTTAGAGTTACCACACGTAAATTTGTTATCGAAAATGGATCTTCTAAGTAAAACAGCCCGTAAAAGACTGGATAGGTTTTTGGGTAGGTTGTGTTATATATCATTTTAAAGCCTAATAAATCACCTTTAAAACGATGTGTACTACTTTAAAATCGCTCAATAAGTTTTTGAGTAATTAATAAAAATGTTCTGCATTTGCAAATTTTTTTACACATAACTTTGGAAGCTTATAACTTTATTAATATTTATTGAAATTCAACAAATTATACATCAAAATAAAGCCCTATTTATATACAATCTAAAAAATCAAAGTTTTAAAATATTAATAACTTTTTCGTAATTCTCATTTTAAGAGCCAGATGCACATAGCATACTAGGCGACGTAGAACTGGCTGGAAATTTTCATTTCAACAAAAAATACCGAAAATTATCCGAATCCATCGGCCATTTAATAGAGGATTATTCATTGGTCCGTTTTATACCTCTTAACCTCAAAAACGAAGAAAATATCTCCGATATATTACTGACGATTGATAATATTATACAATACGGCGAAGATGGAGATGTAAGAACGAAAGATTTCGAAGAAAAAGATGAAGAAGATGATAATTAATTGTATGAATAAATGTTTAAATGTATTTTGTGTTTTTTGCCCCTGAATGTATGCAACGCAGTGTACGTGCTTGTGTATTGTGGGTTGCGTGCCTTATTATCATAAATGTTATTTGTTTACAAAACTTTCATAGATTTACATAGAAATAAACAATAAAAATTCGTTTTTCATTGATACTCAATAAATTCTGTCTTAAAGTAAATAAAAATGCGTTAATGTGTGGAGAAAGTTTCCTTGTAATATTTATCGTGTAAAAAACCAAAATGGCCGTCTTGTGGAGTAACTGCAAATAATTATGGTGTATTATACGTTTTTTGGTGGCGAATAAATTCGGAAAATTCGTAAAAAGTGATGAATTTTGTTAAAGTACTTGCAGATTTTTGTGTTGAAACAATTTGCCTGTTGAAAACAAGGTAGGCCTTTTTTTGTAAACAAAAGAGTGTAGGTGTCAAATAAATAATATTTTCTTTTGTTTTACCATGATAATAAACAGTATATTATGGAAAATATACATAATATATAACATTTAAGTTTGTATTTTCTTTAAAAGCTAGAAAGTCATAACATTTGGTTTATTTTAAATGACCTAAAACGAAACGTTTTGCAAGAATTTCCCATATAAACAATACAAAAGTTTTAATTTGTAATAAACTTATTTAACAAACGAAATGTTTAGTCATTAAAACAATAGAGAGATAAAAACCAGAGAAAAATTATTTAGTTTGTTATTAACCAAGACTGCAGTGAAATTTTGACAGCTGTCAAAATTTCAAGGCAGTCTTTGTTAACCACCATAATACATGATCTTTGAATGTACAAGTTGTATTAATTATACTATTTATACAGGGGTGTCCAGTAAAAATTATAACCAAAAGTTTTTTATACCCTGTTGAAAAATATATTTAATTCTTTAATACAAACAATTTTTTTTATAAAACCCTGTAAAATTAAAAAAGCGTACACATACAAAAAGATTAAATTATTTTTTATAGATAGTAAAAATAATATTCAAAATGGCGGACCCACAAGCCCAAACATATGAATACCAATGGGCTTACAGTATAATGGACTCTAGTAGAGTGTCGACGTTTTTGATTTCCATGCTTTTAATTGTATACGGGTCGTTCCGCAGTCTTAATATGGAGCAAGAGGCTAGAGATAGAGCTAATGGAAGCACCAATTGTCTATTAAATCCCTCACAAACTGTACAGTCGGAAAATAACGTTCAAACTTTGGATACCATGCAAGCTCTATGTCTACCACTAGGAGCCAGCATAAGTTTGTTGGTTATGTTCTTCTTTTTTGACTCAATGCAAATGTTGTTTGCTATATGCACAGCCAGTAAGTATTTTCCAACTTTTAACTTCCTAAAAATAAGTTTTTGTCGAAAAAGTTATATATATGATATGTTATTTAGATGTTACATTGATGTTAAATACAAATAATGCATCTTACAGAAAAAAGTATAAGACAAAAAATGTAGAGAATTTGATTCTCTACAATAAACGTCTTTACAATTTTTGTCGAAAAATTGCTCTAAACCGAGATATTTAACATGTTAGATTTACGTCACTTTTACGTAACATCGCGATATCTTCGAATCCGTGCGTCTTACAGAAAAAACTTAAAGACTAAAAATTCATAATAAAATGTAATCTATCCGTAATTTTGTTTTTTTTTAGTAATTGCTACAGTGGCTCTGGCATTTTTGCTGCTACCAATGTGCCAATATATAATTAGACCATGTTCAGACGGTAACAAAATATCATTTGGTGTGTGCGGGAGATTCACAGCTGCTGAGTTATTGTCGTTTAGCCTATCAGTATTTATCGTTTGTATATGGGTTTTGACAGGTAAATATCAATTTTATTTCCCACATTAACTTTCATTTTTTACACACAGGGTGTTTGAAAAGGGTGCGAGCACTTTGTTTGTCCATTTACTATGAACCGTCATAGTAAATGGACAAAGAAAGTGCTCGCACCCTTTTTGGACAGCTTGTGTCAAGTTAGGTAATATTTTTAATGGGTAACTTTTTAAGGCCATTGGTTGCTCATGGACGCCATGGGTATGGGGCTATGTGTAGCTTTTATAGCCTTCGTAAGACTACCAAGTTTAAAAGTATCGACATTATTATTAACTGGTTTACTAATCTATGATGTTTTCTGGGTATTTTTTTCGTCATATATTTTCAGCACAAACGTTATGGTCAAGGTAAATACATTATAATATAGACGATTTTATTCTCTACAAAATATGTTAAAAAAATTTCGTCGAAATAGTCGCGATAAGCGAGATATTTGATATGTTACTTAGATGTAACATTCATTTTACTTAGTTAAATATGCATTTTACGAGACAAAAAATATAGAGAATTCGATTTTCAACAATAAAAATTGCCCTAAACCGAGGTATTTAACATGTTAGTTTTATGTCAGTTTTACGTAACATCGCGATATCTTGAAAACCGTACATCTTACAGAAAAAAAATTAAGAACAAAAATAAGTGAAATTTTATTGTAAATTGTAATCTGTCGGCAAAAAATTCAATTATTTCATTACGGCTTCATATAGTTTTATTATATATTTTCTGGATATTGCATGGAAAATTTTTTTTATACCAATGAAACAAAAACCTGTCTATAGGTTGCGACAAGACCAGCTGAAAATCCGGTTGGCTTGGTTGCAAGGAAATTACATATAGGCGGGGTTGCCAAAGAGGCCCCTAAACTAAGTTTACCTGGGAAGTTGGTTTTTCCCAGTATCCATAACTCTGGACATTTCAGCATGTTGGGTAAGTTTGAAACCCTGTAACTTGGTTATTTTAGGTTCGATTTTTTAAAAGTATGCATCAAAATAAAGCTTTATTTATCCGCTTTTCAGTACTGTATACATATTTTTTTTAGATTTTATACTTTTTCTATTACCACACAAAACGTATACCAACTACATTTTCATTTCAGGCCTGGGAGATATAGTAATGCCTGGTTTATTACTGTGTTTCGTTCTACGATACGACGCCTACAAAAAATCCCAAGGACTCAGCGGCTCAAGGTTAACATACTTCCACTGCTCTCTTTTAGGTTACTTTTTGGGTTTACTCACGGCTACTGTCAGTTCGGAGGTTTTCAAAGCAGCTCAGCCAGCTCTTCTATATTTAGTACCGTTTACACTGTTGCCGTTACTCACCATGGCGTATTTAAAGGTATGTTGGTTTTATGTCATTTTTATGTAACGAGGTTTTACAGTAAAAAGTTTATAATGAAAAATATAGAGGATTTAATTCTCTACAAATTTTGTACTTGGAAGTTTTATCGAAAAAAGCGCGGTAAGCGAGATATTTGACATGTTACTTACATGTTACCTATATTTTAATTACTTATATGTGCATGTACTGACAAACAGTATGAGGAACTTGATTCTCGACAATACTCTTAGTCGAAAAATTACCTCAACTCGAGATATTTAACATGTTGATTTTATGTCATATTTATGTAAAATCGCGATATCTCCGAAACTATGCATCTTACAGCAAAAACTTAAACATCAAAAATGTAGTAAATTTCGTGGTATATTTAAAAAAATATGTATTTATCTACAGGGCGATCTCAGAAGAATGTGGTCCGAACCGTTTAAATCTCTGGCAGTTTCCAAACACCTCCAGGATGTGTGATATAACAAAGCAACTAACGTTACAAAAAATAAGTTAAAAATACTACAATTTTTTAGGTAATAATAAATTGAGAACTGAAATGTCGTGCAAAACTTTTTCATTTTACGAATAAAAAAAATAGAGCTCTAAGTTTGAAGGTGTGTAATTTTTTATGTGTTTTTTTTAATGTGGTGGTATGAAATCTCAATATTTGGCTTTAAATTGATAGTAAAACCAAAAATTAATATTAATATCTATTTAAAAAATTTTTTAGTTTTTATAATATTCACCTCCAAACTAAGAGCATTTATTTTCTCAGTAAAGATCGAATCGTCAATTTATTTCAATTATTTAACTATACGGGGTGTCTCAGTAAAAACTTCCATCACCAAAAAACAAAAGATTATTTTTACCAAACACACTGTATAAATGTAGTTTTTTTAACGACCGACTGAAATCCTTTATCATGTATAAATAACCTGAAACACCTTGTATATATTATGGAGTGTTTTTATGTAAGAAAAACACCCTGTGTAAGCATCTATTGTTTTTATTTTAGAGAAAAAAGTACTAAAATTGTTACTATTAGATTTGGTAGATATATTTATAATTTATAAAAATAAGATACAGGGTGTTAAATCACTGCCAAGTAACCTCATTAACACTTAATTTTTAGTGAAAACACCCTGTATAAGTGAAACGCATCACTACAAGCACTATTTTAAGTTTTTCGTCTACTTTTTAATTTGTAGTTCAAAAGTTTTTTCTATAGAACTAAATTTTATAGAAATAATTTTTGAACGCATCCTTGTAAATTTTTTTCTGTGATAATCATTTTTTAAAGACTTAATCATTCTTTCGACCTTCATTATTTTTTTTCGTTATAAATTTACAGGGCGATTTTAATTTACCAATTTTTATAAAATAACTAATAATAAATTTTTATCACCCTGTATGACATAAATATCAACAAATTTTCCAAATACTGTGCAATGTGATTTTTTTGAACAAACAAATTTTTATTTTGACTAACTTAACTTTGGTATTATTTTTTTTATATAATATGACGTATTATATATTATTTTTTAGTTGCTTTAATATTAAAAAAAGAAATGTGAAATATTAGGTTATAAGAATTTGTGTTATTGTTTTTTATATTGAAAAGTATAGTTTAAATAAATTACTTATAAATATATATATTTTTTAATTTCTTTAAAAATATCCATTCTACAAAAAAAAATTGTTTACAAAAAATATTGGGAATTTAATTCCCTACAATAAAGTTATTACAGTTTTTGTCGAGAAATTGACGGTAAGTGAGATATTATACATGTTACCTATATGTTACCTATATATGACTTATGCGATATCTCTGCAAATAATGCATATACAACAAAAATTTAATAACAAAAGTTGTAGTAAATTTTATTCTCTACAAAAAATATTATAACAAATTTTGTCGTAAAATTGACCTAAAAAGAGAAATTTGCATTGAAATAAAGTGGTTAAAAATACAAGGTTTTATTAATTCAATTCAATAGGATGCGATAAAATACGAACTATATAAAATGTTTCATGCTAAATTCAATAAATTAATTAGATAAAAAATATTAAAAAGTTATTTTCCAAATTTCTTCAGGATGCTCTTCTTTTAATGGAAACTTTTCCTCGTGATAGATGCGATAAATAAATTTTGATTTTTGATCCATCGGATTTTTTTACCAATATAGCGTCATTTTGTATGGCTGAAATATTCGCTGGATATTTCGACATGTCCCTACTCTCAACAAAAATGCTTTGGCCCCTGTGAAACCACCTTTTTTCGTACAGCAACTTCCCATCCTCAATTCTAGACTCTATTAACTGCATTTCGTTGGAATTCGACAACGATAAACCTTAAAGTAACATTTGAAGTCCGGAAAACGGATTTTCGTGCTGTTACTCACCTGGTAAGTTTCCGGGACTGGAACACGAATTTTCGTGTTTTCTTATCGGCGTCAATACCTTGCCCCTATTAATTTGTTTCAAATCGTTCTCGATTTCTTTTTCGTCTAACGACAATTGTATCGTTGTAGCAGGGGCTTTCCGCCTTTTTTCCTGCACTGGGGCTGGGTCGTTTGGACGCCTTCTTAGTTTCCTGGTCATCACAGGTTTTACCTCCATTGAATCTCCTTTGAAAAAATGTTTATGTTCATTTTACAGAAAAAAGTTTTAAATAAAAAATATGTAGAATTTTATTCCCTACAAAACATGTTATGACACTTTATGCCGAAAAAGCAACAGTAAAGGAGATAATTCACATGTTACCTAGATGTTACGTATATGTTACTTGTTTAAATACGCATTTTACAGAAAAAAGTTTCAAATAAAAAATATGTAGAATTTAATTCCCTACAAAACATGTTATAACACTTTGTGCCGAAAAAGCAACGGTAAGAGAGATAATTGACATGTTACTTGGATGTTACCCTTATGTTATTTAATTAAATATGCATTGTACAGAAAAAAGAATTAAATAAAAAATACGTAGAATTTTATTCCCTACAAAACATGTTATAACACTTTTTATCGAAAAATCATCGGCTAGCGAGATATTTCACATGTTACTTAGATGTAACGTATATGTTACGTATTAACGTAAATATGTATCCCACAGAAAAAAATCAAGAATAAAAAATAAAGAGAATTTCATCCTCCACAGTTAATTTTTCTCAAATTGTATATACAGGGTGTTATAAATAATATACATTCAATTTAAAGCGTAACAAAGATATTTTACAAGAATATTATAGTAATACAGCAGCCATTTTTCAAATTTCAACATTTTTGATTTAATTAGTTCATCCTACAAGAAAAAAAAACAGTTTTTGTAACAGGATATAACCGCGATGTCACAAAGTGACATAAAACTAACAAGTGCGAATATCTCTTTAACTGTAGATTTTACAATGAAAAGTGTAATAAAGTTTTTGTAGAGAATAAAATTCTCTACAATTTCCATAAATAACTTTTTTCCGTAAAACATATATTTGCAAAGATACAGGGTTTTTAAAATAGTTTACCTGTTAACTCCATAGAAAATCGTTCAGCTTCAACATTGCGTTTTTTATCCTCTAAATCTGATATTAAATTCTCTTTTAGATCGATTTTTTTCTCCTCAAATTCTCTAGCCGCAGCTTTTTTTTCTAACGTGTAGTCTCTATCGACACATTCTATTAAATAGTCCCTAAACAAAAAATAAGCACTATATATGGTTTTAGGTGTATTATTAATAACTAACCTGTACAAAATATTCAATCTTAACCTTTCTTTGTATTGATATTCTAATTTTTTTACTTTACGATTGTATTCAACATGAGTCCCATCTTTAAGTTGCATTAATTTTTTTTTCAACGACGCAAGTTTATCTTGATACATTTGTTCTTTAATTTCCAATGGTTCTTGCTGCCTTTCAACATAAAAACCTACAAAATGCCTTAATAAATAACCCCACAAATATAATTAGTTTTTGTCAAATATCTTTTTAATTATTGATTATAGGTAAAAATGTATATAACAAAAATTGTAGATATTTTAATTCTCTATAATTTTTATTCGCACATTTTTTATCTACAACCACTAACAAAGAAGATATAGGCTGAAAACACATTCTGAACATAACCCCACTTACCAGTGTCAGTTTCACTCGCATCTTCGGTATCTTCGTCAGAATTTGGAAGATCGTTATCGTCAAGATCGTTGTCATCGTCGTATTGATCGTCATCGTAATCAAAATCCATGTTATAGGAGTTTGAATATGGTGAACCCCAAGACATTTTTAAACGCGTTCTGAACCCACAAAATCACTTATTTTCACTTAATTGGTGGGTAGTTAGGTGTATAAAGCACTAATTAATAGCGTAAAGTCATTTTTAATTGAAAATGCCAAAATTCGGTTCATTTGACAATGTATTGACAATTAGGGTTAAATAATGCGAAGTAAGCTGCCATCACTGACGTTTTACAGGGTGGCAACCTTTATGTGGTGGTAAGCAACTTAAAGAAAACTAAAAATGTGTTATAAAAAACGATTTTTATTAAAAACCAAGTACTATTTCCAATGTGTATTAAAATAATATTCGTATAATGTATTATAATGTTGTATAAAAAAGTAGTAATAAACGGTTTCATTTTTTTTTAATTATAAGCTCCTCTTCTTCGTCTTCAACTGTCAAAATATATAGGTTATGAGTTTTTTTCGCAAATTTTATGAAAATGGCTGAAGAACCAGATTTGTATCCTTTACATAGAGCTGTTTTTGAAGACGACAAAAAGACTTTATCCAGATTATTAAGGAAACACGATATTACAGAAAAAGATAAACATGGTGGGTGAAATTTAAGGAAATCATGTTTTTTGTCAAATTTAAAGTTTTCTTGGTTATGTTGTTTCTGGGTGACTATTTATAGTTTTTGTGTGTTTTTAGGGTTTATTAATGTTTAGTTTGTGAACTAATTATGTTAACTTGTCTTAAATTTACCAGAAGTTGTGTTTTTTTTATTTTAATTTTGTACAATTGGTTATTTTTGCAGTGAAATGGCTAAATAGTATAATTTTTATTGCATTTTTTATCTTATCAGGTTTAATTATATTACACAATGACTATTGTTTAAGAAAATAGACTTAAAAAATTATTATTAAATGTTTTAAACAATATAGTAAAAACTTTATTTTTTATTTTATATCTATAGGTAATACAGCTCTACATTTGGCAGTTATGTTGGGAAGAAAAGGTATATAAAGTTTATAGGGGATATTCTACTTTGTTAGGTCCAAAAAAATCATTTAACTCTTTAATATAATTGGAAAAAAAATTGAAACTACTATAATTTAAATAACTGTTTTTGACCCAACAAAGTAGAAACATTGCATATACAGGGTGTTTAATTTTATGATTTTAGATTGTGTACAACTTTTATTAAAACATGATGCCCCAGTCAAAGTAAAAAACGGTTTGGGTTGGACAGTTTTAGCTGAAGCTGTTAGCTATGGAAACAGACCTACAAGTAAGTAGATATACAGGGTGTTTCACAGTTAAGGTAGGTTTTTGTGAATGAATTATTAATTTTTTAGTATCATCTTTGGTGAGAAAATTTCGTCAACAGTCGAGAGAACAAATGGAAGTGCGCCGACCAAATTTGGTGGAGGCGCTCAACAGAATAGAAGATTTTTACATGGAGCTAAAGTGGGACTTTCAATCTTGGGGTAACTTTTTAATTTGTTGAAAAATGTTTTTTAAAGGTTTTATTATAGTACCTTTGGTATCGAGAATACTGCCTTCAGATATTTGTAAGATATACAAAAAGGGGGCTAATATCAGATTGGACACAACCTTGGTGGATTTTTCCGATATGAGATGGGAAAGGGGGGACATTTCTTTTATTTTTAACGGCAACTCCGAACCCAATGAAAGCTTGACCGTTTTGGATAACATCACCAAAGTATATCAGAGAGTGAAGTATGAGGTAAGTAAGAATTGGTATATCTCGGTTAATATAACTCCGAGGTAAAAAAGTTATATAAATAAATCGTAGCCCATCGAATTCTCTACAAAAAATGTTATAAGCGTTTTTGACGTAAAATTGATCGTTACGGATGTATCGCGGTTTGCGTGAAATTGGTGCCATGACCAGGATATTTTTGACCTTCCCATATATTGATATACAGTAAAATGCATCTAACATTTTTTGTAGGGAATTTTATAATCTACAATTTTCATTAATGACATTTTGGCATCGGACCAATAGCGAGCGAGATACAAGCAACAAACTGTTTGGTAAAAATGTAAAAAAATTAGTTTTTGCCCATATCTTGCCTAATAAAGATCGGAGATAAAAAAGTTATTAATATAAATCGTAGCACATAAAATTCTCTACAAAAAACGTTATAAGCATTTTTGACGTAAAATTGATCGTTACGGATATATCGCAGTTTGAAATGTTGGTGCCGTGATCAGGATATATTTTTGACCTCGCATAAATCCTTAACGGTTCGTTATACGTAAAAAATGAATTTTACCTTTTTTGTGTACAATTTTATAACCTACAAATTTCGTTAATGACATTTGGACCAATAGCAAGCGAGATACAAGCTAAAAACTGATTCTATTGCCATAGGAGAGCGAAATGGAGATAGAAGATGAGGTGGATCTCCTAATGTCAACGGATATTTTGGCGGCTCAAATAAGCACCAAAAGCATATCTTTTGCCAGGGCTCAAAGTGGTTGGATTTTTAGGGAATTTAAAAAGGTACATTTAGGGTTTTTTTTTTCAACCAAATATATTAATATTTTTAATACACAGGAAATCGTCGCGGGTCAGTATGATAGCGAGTTGTACACTGTACACGGTTTAATGCTGGAAAGTAGAAAAAGGAGGGAACATTTATCTTCTGATGATTTGCAAAAAAATAAGGCCCTTTTAGAGAGTTTCACTAAAGGAGGGAATATGCAAAATTTTGACCCCAATGGAGCGGTAAGTTTAGAAAAAAATAAAGATTATTAAATTCCCTTTAATTTGACGTATGGTTTGATAATTTTGGTTAAAAAATAACAAAGTTAACTGTTGTTAAAAAGTTTGCAAGTAAAAAAAATTAATCTACACTTTTTGGTATATATTTAAAAAACTAAACTAGGTAAAATAAAAGTGTAAAAAGTTTTTGAAACTGCATACAATTGGCTTTAATTTGACATACAACTTATTAAATTAAAAAAGATACAGGGTGTTGAAGATTGCAGTGACAAAAATGCATTTTTTCTAGTAACTACTACAAGTAAACTACAAAAATTCATTTGGGTGTACATTTATTTGAATAAATTTAAAAAAAAATACATTTTGTTTATTTTTATTTTTTTTTAATAAATTTTAGCCCGTCAGAAGATCAAGTTTAAGCCCACCGCCAATTAAAAATGTAACATGGGATCAATATATAAACTCTGAAGCTAATAATTATCCCAGATTAGGAAGGGATTTAGTTTATAAGGAATCATCAAAATCCTTTAAAGCCACCATTGCAATGGTAAGAAAATTTGTACACCCATTTTAATATACAAAGTGTTTAAGAAATGGTTGACAACTCTAATTTTGTACTTCTATTTCTTCAAACATAAATATATTAAAATCCAAAATAGTGTTGCAACAAAATTGTTGACGGTGTTTTAAAGAGCGTTTTATTGGCTTTATTTTGACATATAATTTATTAAAATTGAACCAAAATCAAAAAAGTTACAGACAGTTAAAGACAGCAATGTCAAAAAAATGCATCACCTTTTATTTTCCCAAATAACTTTTAAACCAAGTAAGATACAGTTTCGCTTTTAACACCACCGTAAAGCCCAATATTAGGGCTTCAAAACGACGTGTAAAAAAATACAACCCCACCACCACAATTTTTTTTAGAGCTCAGAATTTCCTCTATCCGTGGAAATGTTGATAAACGTTCTAGAAGTAGTCGCACCTTTTAAACACATTTCCAAGTTACGGGAGTTTATCACGTTCAAACTGCCGGCGGGATTTCCCGTGAAAATCGAAATTCCAATCCTACCAACCGTGACGGCAAAAATTACATTCCAACAGTTCGATTTTAGGGATGATATATCGAAAGAAATGTTCATTACCCCAAACAATTACATAGAAGATCCCACAAGGTGAGTTTAAAATGCAAATATCTTAAAAAATATAAGTGATATATCAAAGATGTTAACAGTGTTTTAAAGTTTATAATGTTGGCTACATTTTGACGTATGGTTTATTAAAATTGGATAATAAATAAAAAAGATACAGGGTCTTAAAGATTTTAGTGTCAAAAAGTTCAGTACTTAACATTCCCGCAGATAACTTCAAAACTAAAAACAACTTAATAAATATTTTAACATAACCTTAAAGCCCAACAAAAAACCTACAAAATGACACCTAAAAAAACAAAATCTGACGAAAACTAAAAAAGTTATTCGACTTTAGATTCCCAGACTTGTGACACCCTGAGTTGCTTACTTCGTTCGAGTTAAACTACACCCCTAAACCGCAATTTTTGGCGCCGGGGGAAAAGTTGCGCGCCCCTGGGCGCCGAAGAGTCATGGGCGCGCGCGGCGTAGAAAAAAAACGCCGCGAAAATAACAATAGTAGACAGTCTACTGTTATTGTTGAGGTACCGATGCTATTTTCACTCGGTAGCATCTATAGCGCTAATTGCTTGGTTTATTTGGAATGATTTTGTTGCGGTGCGATTTTATTTTGATTGTTTCAAGTAATGAGAAGTGAAGTGGGTTAAATTGGCTTCAATTTGACCTATGGTTCGTTTATTTCGGTTGAAAATTAAAAAAGATACGGGGTGTTTAAGATGGCGCTGTCAAAAAAATGCTCTACTTTATATTTCTCCAAATATCTTTTGCACTGAGAAATGTACATTTTTGGCTTCACCATAAATTTAAAGCCCTTTTTTAAGGCTTTAAAATGGTATATAAAAATTAAAAATCCAACAAAAGAGAAAAAAGTTATTTCCTTTTAAATCAGCTTATGACAGTAAAACAATTCTCATTATTTGAAACATCTTAATAAAAATCGTTTTTTAAGTTGTTTTTTTTTTGCTGGCATCAAAATTGAAAAAAAATAAAATGTGAACAATTTTTTAAGTATTTATAATGACTTTTTAGTATTTATTATAATATCTGTGATTTCATTTTTTTTTTAATGCAAAAAAATCAGAATTACTAATTTTTTTCGAGATTTTTTTGTTATTTTCCTGTATATTGGTGTTAATGACTTAAAATTCAGTGTTACCAACCTTAATCTGGTGTATTTCTGAAATCCCAGATTTTTTTTAGTATTTTTAATAATTTATGTAGTAAAAATGTTAATTGTAAAAAAGCGTGAAACAATCTTATTACATATCTATGAAAAAACCCTGTTTTCAATGTTTCTAAAATAATTTTCCCATTTTAACCCAGTCACTAGTGAATTTATAAAAAAAAATAAACAGTTTTTTGCGTATATCTTGCTTGATGTACATCGGAGGTAAAAATGTTGTATATATAATTTGTAAGTCATGAATTTCTCTACAAAAAATATTTTAAGAATTTTCACGTAAAATTGATCGTTACGGATATATCGCGTTTCAAAATATTGGTGCCATGACCAGGATAGATTTTGACCACTTAATATCTCCTTAGCGGTTCGTTTTACAAAAAAACTGAATTTTACATTTTTATGTGAAATTTTATAACCTACAAATTTTATCAGTAACGTTTTAACATCGGACCAATAGCAAGCGAGATACAAGCAAAAAACTGTTTATACGACTGGATTTTTTTCTAATGAATGAATGAAAAAATACTATCCAACATGTTGGATATATTTTTTCGCTGTGTATACAGGGTATAAAAACCATCCTTTTTAATTAAATTTAAAAAAAATCGCTTCATCTTTTTAAAGTATTTTTATGTATTTTTTATTTAATTTAATAATGTAGTAGTCATAATTTATAATTTTTATATGTTTAAGGTGTGAATGTTAAAAAAAATGTTCCATGTATGTATATGTCTGAAATATTATGAATGTTATTTAAAATTAAATAAAAAAATGTTATGTTTGTAACTTTGCTTTTATTTAACCAAAAATACAGGTAAAATAGGGTAAAAGACAGGTGCACCCCTAAAAACCGCCCTGTTGCCGTTTAAATCGCCCCAAACTCACAAAACGTAAAATCCCCACAATATGGGAATTAATGCACAACCCGGCAACGTCGCATCTGTTGAGCGACAACGTGTGTTCAATCGAATCCCCTCTTCTGATTGGCCGAGAAGAGGCCACTTGACCGGTTCGAAGTTGGTTACCGTTGAATTGCCCGCAGAGTTTTTACTTTTGCGGTTTTTTGAGTTTTATAAGGGAGTTTTGAGGGTTTATTTTTTTTCGAGAGATGTCGAGTTTTGGGGAATTTTAAGGGCTTGTAATTGGTGTTTTTGTTTATTGTGTAGTGTTAATATTAAGGGAGTTATTAAAGAAAAACTTGTTTTTAGGGTTTTGTGGTTGTTTTTTTGTTTTCAGGGTTTTATATGGTAAAAATTATTAAAATTTTATTTGTGGAATAATAATATAACTTAAAAATATTATTTGAGCCTTTAAAGTTCCCCAAAACTGTTGTATTTGATGAAATATTGGAGATTTAAAAATATCGCGGGCAATTTCAAACGATCGACGTTTCAAGTTTCTTTAACAAATCAAATTTCATTCAGTCTGTATCGAGGTTGCTTTGAAAAGACAGAAGACGATCAAGGGGCGCGTTAATATTATTTTAGCACCATTTTTAAGTGAAAAATGAAATAAATTCATCGATTTTATTCATTTTAATGGTTAATTTTTACAAAATATTAAGTGTAGTGATGATGACCTGAATCTAGTGTCCAAATTTTGGATTTTTCGGCGTTCCTTTGGCTGTTTTTTGTGATTTTGTGGACTAGCTTAAAAGGTAAGGTTATGTTGTGTTTTTGGGGTTGTTTTATTTATATTTTATAATATTTTTGAGGGGTGTAAGGTTAGATTTTGTTTGTGAACAATTATTGTCTTAAAATACCACAAACAATAATTATATTTGCTTATTTTTATTTATCGTCTTCATATATTATATGCTTTAAGGTTTATACATGTATTTTATGCTACAGAAGAAATAGTTAACAAGATTATTTTATTTAAATATATACTAAAACATGTTAATTTCTTAACGAATATCAAGGTTAAAATAAAATCAACAAAAAACCACAAATTAATGATTTTAAAGTAACGAAAAAATTATTAGGTTCTAAAATATATTTAACAAAATTTTTCACCTCATTCTATTTGTGTTACTTTCTTCAAATGCTTAGAGATACAAGAAACAAGAAATCTTATTAGTTTATCTTATTTGAACTTTTTCCTTACATCTTTAGATAATAAATTTCTTCAATGAAAGTAAAATTTAAGTTTTTGTAAAATCACTGCGGGTTTTTCAAATTTATTGCTATTTTCTACTCTCAAATAACCTACTTTAGATACAGGGTGTTACTATTATAACAATACGTAAAATTAATATTTATACGGATATTTTATACACCTTGTGTTAAATCAATACGTAATTTAGTATTGGTTTCCTAGATACAATTTTCATAATTAAAATACTTTGTTTAATCGATATGTTTTATCGACATTTTTTTGCCTACATCTTGCTTAATATAATTCGTAGATAAAAATGTTATACATATAAATTGTAGCTCATTAATATCTCTACAAAAAATATTATAAGCATTTTTTACGCAAAATTAATCGTTACGGATGTATCGCGGTTTGAAATTTTTGCGTCATTGGTGCCGTGACCAGGATTTATTTTTGACATCCCGATATATCCTTAACGGTGGTTTATACGGTAAAAATGCATTTTAGGTTTTTGTAGAGAATTTTATAACCTACAATTTTCATTTATGACATTTTGACCAATTGCGAGCGAGATACAAGCAAAAAATTGATTAACGAAAAAATTATGTTTTGTATGTTTCCTTTTGAAAACACATGTATCTACAGCTAGCTTAAAATAGTTCAAACATATGATATTAAAATAGCACAAAAGTATAAGTCTAATTTTAAAGCATAAAGAAATATACTTTCTAGACTATTTTCTACATTTTTCATTGTTTCTTAACTTGTTATAACATTTTTTGTAACAATACGAAAAATAGATATCAAAATTGCAACATTTCTACCTATTTCGTGATTTAAAAACGTTTCCTATATAATTATTTGTTTTATTTTGTAGGTATTATTTGTATTAAAACTTTTAATTAAAAATTTTAATTTAAAAGTAAAAATATGTAGGTATAATACAATAGTGGATGATATTTATAAAGAAGATTTTCTCCATTTTTTTTTTAATATTTACTTAATCTTTTAATACAGTTAAATTTAACGTAGGTATACAAATGGATATTTCGTAACCTTTTTTTCTTATTAATTAAACAGTAGAAACTTTATTTTTATATTAGTTATGTTAAATATCTTGATTATGCAGTAAATACTTACCTATAATATTATTTTGAGCTTTCTATCGTTTATTAAAAACATGGTACCAAGAAATAAAATTAGTCAAAAAATATTAATTATTTGTTCAAATAAATTATAACAATATTATTATTAAAATAATTGACCAATGCAAAAATATCAGATGAAGCAATGTTGAACAAATTTTAAAGTAAATATTTATTTAAAACAATAAATTTTACGGTACATGGCATGGTCTGAATTCGTAGAAAATATTATTGAAATATAGTTTTTGTTTATTTTTTAGTTTAACAGAAATTTTTAGTTAGACTTTTTTTAAACATCTATAACATAACGTGAGAAATATATATCATGTAAACAATTATACTTCCCGAGTAGCCTTAGCTGGTTGTTGCACTTGGTCTAAGTCGGCCTTGAACGTATCAGTTTCTCGCCAACTAGATGCCGATGAACGCAACTTAACTTAACTATTCGCAATGCTACCACTACAATGGGAAAAAAACTGTGCTTTTAAACCGCTATATCTTTGTTGGTATTAAGTTTACAGAAAATTCGTCAGAATGAAAAATATAGAGAATTGAATTGACTACAAAAAATGTTATTAGGAATTTTTTGAAATATGTCGTATAACAAGACCAACCTGCGAAGACAAAAAGTATGGGTTAGGTATGGGTGTGGGGACCTTTAGAGGAACTGTGGGTTAAATATTCATACGCCATGTGTTAGAGGAATGTTTTAGCTAATAATCGGTTTTTAGTTTGTTGGAATATGTTGAAGATTAACATAGTTATGACGTGGAAAGTAAAATTTTGACGTATATCGATTTTTCAAAAGTTTGAGTAATTAATTGCTTTAAAATTTTCTCAAGGTTATATTGGGCAATTTTTTTAAACATTACGTCATGAAACAAATGAGATGAGGGTACCTACTTGTATTAGTTAAAATATGAAATAACCTTAAATATTCTAAAAAATTTATACTGGTTATTATTACGCATTTTAATAAAAAAATATATATGTAGGTCTAAATTCTTGTGCAAAATTGATGCAACTGTTTTATGTTTAAGGAAGAATGACCTTTATATGAATCGTGATCTTTAATTCACGAAATGTCACATGAATATAGCTTTTACTTTCTATAAGATACAGAAGATCTCTTTTGTTACCTATTGTATCTCTAAACAATATCGTACCACACAAAGGTTTAAGTAATATTAAATATAACCCACACAATTATAAAACCATTATAAAATTTAAACACACCCCAACGCCAGTGACTAATGATATGTTGGACAATGTATATTAAATAAATATTATCGACAACAAATTAATTATTTATTTAATCGACCTCGGTTGTTTAATGACAAACTTAAGGTGTATCATGGTATGATATACATATTCTGCATACTAAGTAACCTTTTATGCAATATTATGTTCCCTCGAAAATACTTATTTACCTGTTATTCGTACACTAGGATCTACAGAGGTATAGGTACTTAAAAAATAATTACAACGCTCGATAAATTTTTAATGTATAGTTATAATGCTAAACATCTCAGTCTAGGCTAGATATGTGGAGTTAACCGATATATCGAGTGAACCATAACAATATACACCCGGATATTAAGTATGAATTTTTTTTGAAATTATTTCTACGAAAGACATCATTTTTAAGTTAGGCCTTCAAAGGGCATAATACTAACGTGTTTATATATAGGTAAGTAGTATATATTCTTTTGACAGTTGACAGATTGCGTTTCAATTTATAAGTTTACTAAAAACTCAAAACACTAATTTAATAAAATGAATAAACTAAATAATAATTATAGACAGCGTCAGCAAGTTAGAAATTATAACCTACTTTAATTTTATGTTTTGCTTCACAACCAAGCTTCATTTATTTTTTACTTGATAAGCAAGCTTCAATTTTAATTCCAAACTGAGGAAAGTAATATTTACCCAATAAATAAATAAGAATATTTAAAAAAAGTTAATACATCAAATAATAGTAAAATATCAATACTTGTAGAAATAAGGTAAAAAAGTTACTGTACTGTATTATTGATTCGGTTTTCTCGAGGGTTTTCTTGGTAATAATAGGTAATTGAATAAAATTTACAGACAATTGTTTTGTGCAATTAAAAAACTTTCATGATTTCCAATAATATTTTTTCCACGTTCATGTTACCATGACACTAAGTAACCTTGTGACAAGTTGTGGCTTAATGCAGTTTTAGTCACGGGCTGAAGTAGTAAACCAGATTAACTGATTTTTTCAATAATCTTAATAATAAGTATGTTTTGTTTACTCATTTTATTTGTTAAAGTTGACTTTAAATTATAACATTTAATTTGCATAATTTTTAATAAGTTTGACCTTGATAATTAATCGATCTATTTAATCTTTAAGTCGAATTTAAGTAGACTCGATAAAAAATTAATTATAATTGGACCAGTTCAACTTGACCAACCCATGCAGTTATTTTAAATTTAAATCGTTTTTTTTAAAAGCATAGATATATATTGCGTTGAAATTGTTATGGTAAAAAAATACACGGAATCAAAAACTAGGATGCTTGTATTTTTTAATAAGACTGATTTCCCGTTTGCAGCAACATACGGGATATATTAAAACAATTAATTTACAAAATATGTAACCAGACACCAGTGAATATAAGAAAAAATAGTTTTTTGCGTATATCTTGCTTGATATAAATCTGAGGTTAAAATGTTATATATATATTAATTGTAGCTCATTAAATTCTCTACAAAAAATGTTATAAGCGTTTTTGACCTAAAATTGATCGTTACGGATATATCGCGGTTTGAAATCTTCGCGACATATTGGTGCCGTGACCAGGATTGATTTTTGACCTCCCGATATATCCTAAACGGTTCGTTATACGGTGAAAATGCATTTTATGTTTTTTTGTAGAGAATTTTATAACCTATAATTTTCATTTAAGGTTTTTTTTGGAATTGGACCAATAGCGAGCGAGATACAAGCAAAATACTACATTTTAACAAAAAATTATTCAATTTCTTCTTCAATATTTTCCAAAATGTTTTCTTTTTCTTCAGTTTTTTCATTCTTCAAGTCGTATAAAGAGGTTTTTCGTGTTCACTAGATTCCCTACTAAAAATCACCAGTATTCATCTGAAAATGAAAAAATATACGTTGTGTTCATTTTAACCCAACAAACTTACAGAGCCATAATTTGATGTACCGGGTGTTTCATTTTCTTGGTACATGGGATTATCAAAGGACTTCTCCAAACTCATTACTGATGAGTTCAGAGATTGATTTTCAAAACTTAGATTACTCCTGTGAATGTTATATCTGGCGTTTGTGAAGAATCCATTAATATTTCTGTTTCTCCAGTTGAATCTATAGATTATAAAAATTGTTTTTTGAATTTTGTTAAGCTTGTAGATTTTTTTT